GTGGCATCAGCCTAGCTCACAGCAACCTCAAATGCCTGGGCTCAAGCGATCCTCCTGCCTCAGCTTCCCAGAGTGCTAGGATTACAGGCATGAGCCACATGTATATTTTAATCATTTGAAAGAAAATAGCACCTTTATATCTTTAGTACAGGGCATCATATCCACTTTCTTAAATTTTAAAAGAATGATTAATTAGAAGACCTGTTCATAGTGAAGTAAAAATAGAGTGTTATTCTGCCAACATCACATAGCTTAAAACATTCTAAAGCTTTGGTATATTTGGCAAGTAGGTCTTTTGCTCCTGGTTTGGCCTAAAGGAATCGCCATTTATTGTTAGCTGGCCAGCATAATGCTTTGACTCTTGAGGTTAGGTAAGGAGTTATTTTAAGGCCTTCCTGTATACTTGCAGGCTTATTAGTTTTTACTTGGAGATCTTTTTAGCCGAGTATGTAACCATCTATTTTCCCTCCACAGAAAATCTGCAGCTGTGCTTAGGGGAGTTTCTACCCAGGCTTCTAGATCCCTCTGCAGAAATCATTGTCTTGAAGGAGCCACCAACTATTCGACCCAATTCTCCCTATGACCTTTGTAGCCGATTTGCAGCTGTCATGGAGTCAATTCAAGGAGTTTCAACTGTGACCGTGAAATAAGCTGCCACATGTTCAGGCCCATCCTGGTATCTGGCTGCCTGTTGCACAGAAGTCTGTTGTCATGGTACTCACCTTGGGAAAGGATTAGGTGGACAAGCAAGACTCAGATTCAGACCCCAGCCATGCTGCGTGTGTAAAGAAGGATTGAAAATAAAATTGCACTTTTTAGGTACAGAATCATAAAAGCTATTTCAATAGAAAAGGCAAGAACCAGTGCATTGAGGTATTGAATTATGCCAGAAGACCTGAAATGCCTTTGTACCTACAGTAAGGCTAGGGCTTTTCTAAGCCTCTTGCCACTTTTTAAATTATCCTTCAGGCATAAATATTTTTGACAGCAGAATAGAAGAGTGATTCATCAGAACCTGAACCAGATGAATAGCTACTAGTTATTTTATTAAATACAGGTGACATTTAAAAATTCTTAACTGCAAGAGATTAGGAATATAAACTTTGCCTAGCTCTTGACAGGAGATGACAAAATGGGTCGCTGATGAACCTCGCCCTTTTACATGTGGGTAGAATATAAGATCACATGGCAATAAGATGCTGAAAAGTCAAGAGAGCTGCCTCCTTCCTTTCTTTTCTCCATTCTATTTTTAAATAAACCAGAAAACCTCATACTTAGCCCTGAGTGAAAGAAAGGAAAGCAGTTAAGGACTTCAGACAGAATAGCATTCTGAAACTTGACTAAAGATAATGTGTTAATAGTTGTTAGCCATGTAGGCAAAATTTTCTAATATCTGAAAATTGTCAAAAACAGGTTTCTAAGGCTAGTGTTGGCCCAAAAG